AGTAGCTCCCGTATATTTGTATACAGAAAAATCACAACTGCCTAGCTGGTAAACAAAGTGGGCTGGATGGTCATTCCAAGTGGATAACATGCTCACCCGAGGCTCTGTAGAGTAGTGGTTGGACCTGGATGCTGAATAGTCCTCAGATGGCGATCGTGAAAATAATGCTAATTACGCATTCATTCCCAGGGGTTTTGCGAATAGTCCCTCTTTTGTTGCTTAATGGATTTTATGGTGGGGTAGCGATGCAACTTTCAGAAACACATGTGGAATTTATTAATGAAGCCAACTTTCCTTTATTTGACTTCGCGGATGTGTCTTAACTGAAAGATTTTACTCAGAAGCTTCAAGAAAACTCTTAGACGGGTCACCATCGGTTTTGCTCTATGTGGGGTCAGCTTCATATCGTATTTGAAAACAGTGTGGAAGTCAGCCAGCTCACCGATGCCAGGCTAAAATGGTGGAGTTCGTTTTTCTACCTTCGTTCCTAGTAGAGCGTGAGCATGTAACCAATGGCGCAGAGTTGGCCGATAGACAGTGCTTATAGTCATATGTTTTACAACGTTTAAATGCAACATAGAGATTGCACGAAGTTCGATAGGTTTCATATATTCGCTGACCTCAAAGTTACGGTAGCGACGCCCATTCTGTCTTATTTTATCGATTAGTTAACGCTTAATCTAATATCGCCTCCGCGAGGATTTTCACTCGAATATAAGAGTAACTCATTCACAAGGGCCCATAAGCAGTCCAGTTAGTCTCGAAGATCGAATCATTCCAAAATCGTCCAATCGATCGTTGACAAGTCTTGCCTCATTCCTTCAAAGTCCTCGCACCAGAAGAATTCTCGGGGATCGCTTGGGTACCTCAGCAACAAACACACCGCATAGCCAGCTGAACAAGACGGTCATTGACAAGAATTGACTGATGCGAAATCAGAGGAATTAGGCCAAAGTATACTTGTTTAGGTTGACTTCCAACTTGGTTCTGTAGTTTTCAAAAAAATATCAGTTCAACGTGGTGCCATGGATCAACAAGTTGAGTATGCATCAAGTTCCATCATATAGTTGCAGCATATGGGCTTCCAAGTCGAGTGTGATTCGGGGTTTCATATTTTTTGGAACAAAATTGTTCACTGAAAAATAGTTTGTGTTAGAGTACCCCAACTGTCGCTGGCCAGTTTGGAGTTTTAAGCCAACCTCGGTACACACTCAATGCATACTCTCATAGGGAATTCTGGGTTCAAAATTGTTACAGCTGTTCTGTTTTGTATTAGTGTTTGCTATTCCACTAGCTTCCTGACAGCATAAGATAGTTTGGCTGGTGCAACCGTTCCGTTGTTGCGGAACAGGAGAACTAGCGGTGATTCAGTTAAGTCTCTTGATAAAACCAAATTGGTATGTAAACGAAAATATTTGCCAAATTTCATTCAATTTGGTCCAAGTAGAATGTATGGTTTATGGAAACTCGGGAGCTGCACCCAATGATAGGCCTCAACAATGACAAAACTGTTTCTGGGCTTCCAAAGTGTTTTCAGGACCTTTATAAGTAGTATATTGCATCTAAAGAAACAGAGTATTTTTAGCAATGGATTTACTAAACTTAGCTTATTTTCAAGTAAGCATGTCGCCAACAAAATTTGGTGAAAACGAACTGCAGTTTTATTAGGCTTGCGTGAGACCTATTACCGGAGCATCCCTACCTTATAAAGTACTGAGGACTGGCAATAAAGCGTTTGCAAATGAATTGTCCAGTTCACTAATGAAACCGTTGGCCACAGTAGACGTTGCAACAGTATCTGCTGTTCAGTTAACCTGTATTAGTGTTAGTTGTGAAGTAAACAAATTCTTAAACAGGCCAATGTTGTTTGGGCAACCTCCAGAGTGCTTTGAGTTTTCACTTTGCTAAACTTGGTTTCAAGCGATTTTCATCTCCTGACGGTCCCAAGGGTATCACCCATCTATGTCAGCATTAGAAAATTATGCAGTGTCCTCATAAAGTAGAAATAATCCTTCGCGAAGACAATGCTGAAAAAGGAGTTGTTCGATTTTATAACGGGAAAAAGTTGGTGTGACAGTCACTGGTACACGAACGGGAATTCTGATTTTTTTATTAACTCCCATGCCAGATTTCTCTGCTTAATTAGCTTGGACTTTTACTTTTCAGATGGAGCGACCGGATGCAGTTGTGTTATCCTCTCACAACTATTCAAATATTTTAGAACTTGTTTACTAACCGGAATTGGTTGATAGCGAGTGACAGCTGTCTCACCCCGGTACAATCACAGAATACAGTCACTTCTAAGGTGTCGGTTGCCCAGAAACGTGCAAAATTAGCATCGTTGTACCAAAGCAACATAACAGCTGTTTTTGAGCGATTGGTCGATAGCTGTGTGTGACCAAAGTAGTTGTCAAAACATGACAGCCGTTCAATGGTCACTTCTATCTCCTGTGGGAAACTTTTATTAAACCGAATGCATAAGCTTATCAGCTGACGTCATTGATTGAAGATGGATGTTTGCCGCATCCTGTAATGAATAAGTCAGCCCAATTTAGCAGGACTAAGGTGGTGCTTTTGGAAATTTAAGGTTCTACTTTGAGTTTTAGAATCAAGTTGCTTTAGGGCTGGAGCAATTCGAGCTAGAAGAATATGAATGGTCCAAGTGATTAGAGCGCGAATTCACTGACCTGAAAGTCCGTGGTTCGAACCCGACCTCTGCTTCTCGACACCCCTCTCTGGGCTTGGGTGACCTGGCAGTATCCCAGCCATCCTGCCTCCTTCGTGTGGTAGCTAGGCACCGAAAAGTTGCTACAGCTGAACGATTATATTAATATGAATTCCTTAACAAGCGCACTGATTTAGTTGAGCCTTTTTTGAACATAGTATCAGCAGTCAGGAATATCGATCATTCCTTGGAACTGTCCCCGGAGCTCCACTCAACCGGGCAAGCTCAACCAGCAGAAAGTAGACGTTTCAGCCTTTCTGATCAATGCATTAATTACCCATGCTATCATGTCAGCTCGACAGAGAGGGCGATGTTGTTTTCTTCGTGGTTCGTCTGCTTGTATACTGTTTTAGGTCTTGTTTTCGTGCGCGTACACACACGTTTCCTATCTGGTCTGACACGTGCAAATGAGCTGTCAAGTTGCTGCTTGATGGTATTTTTTCGTCAAGACTGAGCGTTTTTTTCTCTGAATGTTTGAATGGAAGCAGACGCGCTATACCCCATTTGGAAAGTAGGCCAACTTTGCCCATACTCTATCGAATATTAGCCGTGTGGCAAACCAGCTGGAAGGAAAAGGGACGGAGAAGTTTAAAGGTTCCCAACAGTGTGTTTGTTTGTGTGTGTATGTGCAGAAATCGTGAGTCACAAGCAGTGAAAGAACGTGGGTTTTGAACAAACTTTTGACAAGCACCGAGGGGGAACATCAGGCAATGCTTTCGCAGGATTAGAAACCAACCACCCACATCAACCTGAAGGTCCAGTCGTTAGAATAGGCAAGCAACCTGCTGCCGCTGCTGCAACGAGCCATGATGCCTTTGGGTGTCAGGCAACGAATATGCCAAAGTCACGATGTGGAGGTAGAAAGACAGTGAGTGGGAGAGAAACACTGGCAGCTAACTATCAGCTGATACAAGAAAACAGCGACATGACAACAACCACAGAATCGCGAATAACGGCATTGGTTTTGTGGACAAGTTATAAGAACAGAAACATCATTTCTCAGACCCTAAAGTTCATTGGTGAATTAAACATTATCTCTGACACTTACCAGCCCAGCCATCCTGCCTCCTTCGTGTGGTAGCTAGGCACCGAAAAGTTGCTACAGCTGAACGATTATATTAATATGAATTCCTTAACAAGCGCACTGATTTAGTTGAGCCTTTTTTGAACATAGTATCAGCAGTCAGGAATATCGATCATTCCTTGGAACTGTCCCCGGAGCTCCACTCAACCGGGCAAGCTCAACCAGCAGAAAGTAGACGTTTCAGCCTTTCTGATCAATGCATTAATTACCCATGCTATCATGTCAGCTCGACAGAGAGGGCGATGTTGTTTTCTTCGTGGTTCGTCTGCTTGTATACTGTTTTAGGTCTTGTTTTCGTGCGCGTACACACACGTTTCCTATCTGGTCTGACACGTGCAAATGAGCTGTCAAGTTGCTGCTTGATGGTATTTTTTCGTCAAGACTGAGCGTTTTTTCTCTGAATGTTTGAATGGAAGCAGACGCGCTATACCCCATTTGGAAAGTAGGCCAACTTTGCCCATACTCTATCGAATATTAGCCGTGTGGCAAACCAGCTGGAAGGAAAAGGGACGGAGAAGTTTAAAGGTTCCCAACAGTGTGTTTGTTTGTGTGTGTATGTGCAGAAATCGTGAGTCACAAGCAGTGAAAGAACGTGGGTTTTGAACAAACTTTTGACAAGCACCGAGGGGGAACATCAGGCAATGCTTTCGCAGGATTAGAAACCAACCACCCACATCAACCTGAAGGTCCAGTCGTTAGAATAGGCAAGCAACCTGCTGCCGCTGCTGCAACGAGCCATGATGCCTTTGGGTGTCAGGCAACGAATATGCCAAAGTCACGATGTGGAGGTAGAAAGACAGTGAGTGGGAGAGAAACACTGGCAGCTAACTATCAGCTGATACAAGAAAACAGCGACATGACAACAACCACAGAATCGCGAATAACGGCATTGGTTTTGTGGACAAGTTATAAGAACAGAAACATCATTTCTCAGACCCTAAAGTTCATTGGTGAATTAAACATTATCTCTGACACTTACCAGGGCACTTTTATGCCACTTCAAACAAAGCGGAAAAGTGGGTAGGCTTTGTGAAATGTGCAAACTTTTGATATTACACAGTAAGACTTATACACGCTAACCTGATGTATCATAGAGTCAGACCGGTTGCCTAAACTGGAAACCAGGGGAGGAAGAAATTCTCATTCATGTGACACAATCAAGGGTTAACATGTTCCTAAAACTATACTTACTACTATCCTCAGAATTGGCATGATCTCGAGACCTGGTGGTTACCCGATCATGATCACCTCCGTCTCCATTTAACATTCGATCTCCTCGTCGACTCCCGATAGCAGTGTTGCCATTCATCGTAGCCGTCGCATTAGCCAACTTTGTTTGCCGGATTCTTGAAGATGGTCGGTTTGGTGCATATGGCGAATGGTTTCCATGGTAGTCGATGAAGTGAGTGTGCGGTCCAGGTGACGAAGAATGCGGTTGTGTGCCATTTGCTCTGTTGGGTTTGCAGAAGTAATTCGGGTGTCCGTCTACCAGCGCTGACGAGTGCTGATAAGAAAAGGGTTCTGATTCCGAATGCGATCCAGACGGGAGCGAAGGCGGTGGTGGAGGTACCATCCCAGACCCACCAGTAGGTGAGCTGAGTTGGGTGGAACTGGAGGGACCAGGCAGAATAGCCGGTATGCCATACTGGGAGTAGGAATAAGGATAGTCGTAATGTGAAGGTGCATGTGTCGAACCGGGATGATCTGTATAGTGCATGGAAGAGTCTAAGCGTGGCACAATTGACTGAAAAGGGTTGAATTCACTTCCTCGAATATAGTGAGAGAAGTACTGATTGTAGTAATTGCTGGAAGTCATACTGGATCTCAAAGGTGGCGATAAGTCGTAGGTGCTTAGACTGCAACTGGCCGGTGTGGTATGAGACTGTTGATAAGATTGTGTGGTACCGTAAAATGGTGGGGAGGTTTGGTTCAGTGAACTACTGGGTCGATCCCGTTGGCCAGATGTTGTGGAAGTCTGTGTGTTTGTACTTGAATTAACTGCGTGCACGGCAGCACTGACTGGTGTGCTTGAAACTGCCGACACGCTGTTGGTGCCGGAGTACCCAAGACCGTGGTTTGTCTGCAAGGATGAAAAAAATTCATTAAATAGGACGTCTGTTGAGCAGATAAATGGGTCATCGAGGCTACACATGTGCAACCGTTTATGACATTATGGATCTCGCTCCCATAAAAGTAACGACAAGTTTCCCCTTGCTATATGAGCATTAAAAATGTTATTGGTTTTATGCCACTTTAGTACATGGCTGATATCACCTTAAGCTACTGGTTAATTGTACCAGAGGAAAAGAGTATCTATCAGTTATCACATATTTCAACCGTCAGTATTCCAACTCGTGATGTTATCACCCTATTATGATTCTAAGGACCCAATGAACAGCGATGAGCTCATTCGCGCATTTCCGTTTAGCGGTGAACGAACGACAGAATCCCCATTTTCGAACAACAATAGTGAACATTGTACTAACCGGACTTTTGAATTCGACAAATATTCCCTAGGCTTCAATCAGTTTTAATCACTAATGCTATGATTTCTGACTGGAATTTTGAGCGAGAGTGAGGAAAGACCGATCTGAAAAGGAATGGAATGTGGGCGAATAAACGAGCATAACGAAACGGAATAAAGAGCAAGTTTAACCAATGGTGCCTCTTCCTCAAGGTCTTGTGCTAGCCCCTTCGATGCCTAGCTGTCATGCTACCCGAATAAAACACAACAGCTAAGATAATGCAAGGTTACGCAAGCCCAGACAGCAGCAGTCGCGATGGCAGTGTTGGGTTCGAACTAAGATACTTTCGGTTTTTAAGCTCAAACCTTAACTACAAAGCTATCTCGAGCACAATGTAAGCATGTACTTCCCGGTAAGTCTACCAGCCGGTTTCCCATCGCTATTGCAACCTGAAAAAACTAACTTGAGAGTAGCAAAAATGCTACGGTAAAATAGCAGGCCTCCCGTCTTCATAAATGACATAATAAATCTGTCAGTAGTACCCGCGTGATTGAACTGCACTTGTCACCTCACCGAATAAATCCTCACTAAGTTTATCTGTGAGAGACCCGAAAGTTTCACTGTTTGTCCAGAACAACGTAATCTGTCACCGTTTTTTTTCGAGCACGTATATGCTCAGTTTTTTAAGAATATGGCTTTCAGCCTGTTTGAGTAAATTGTTTTCAGTCAGTGTTTGATGCATTGGTTGAAATCATTAGCCTATCAGAATCAGACTTGTGCCTCCGTTGATTGCTTCAACACAGGTTTTCTTGCCATACATACAACATGGCAAGATTCCAAAAAGTTGACACCAGCACTAGTAAGCAAGCAAATCTAAGATTTGGAGTCGAATGCATAGCCACCATTATTGAATCTCCGTAAGGAATTCCCTTATAATAAGTACGGTTTGTAGAGTATATTGCGCATCTCACATTTTCACTTCTCAAGACGTCTATTGTTTCCGTTTTTCTGGCGAAATCTATCCATTTTTTCAGCCTTTTCTCCACTTACTGTAAACACAATACTTTTATAGCCCTCTTTCTTTGCATCCCGCCGTGCTAGATTTATCTTGTAGTCCATGCCACAATAATTGACGTCGTAGTCTGATGAAAGGGATATTTAGAGAACACTCGGTGGCTTGTATACGCGAAACCGTGTGTCAGATATGTGCTGCCACAGGCCTTTAAAAAAAAGTACAACGTTGTCCGGTGGCATCAAATTACGCAAATCTTGACAGGTCATCATTATGGACGGTCTTTCGTGCAACGGTTGTTGATTAACGGCTCACTGGGAAAATGTGATTAGATGATTTGTTTATTCCTTAGGAATCTGGACGGGCTGTGACAGTAAAAGTTAATGCAAAGAATATACAAATGACGTTTATGTGCTGACATCTACAAGGCGCATTCTGGTGCCGATAAACACTCATTGTACAGGACTGACTGATGGTTCTCTTTGGGCTCGATCAGTGGGGCACCAGGGAATCTTCATGATATGTTTATTTGCTGATATTTACTGGGACACAAAATGAAGAAACCTTACTCTTACGTCAGTTGCTTGATGTTTTTTCAAGCGTTTGTGTTGGTTCAGATTTGTTCTAGATAACCAAATTATCATAGTTTTTATTTCAATTTTTATCGTTGTCATCAAGTGACAACACGTTGTCATCAATGACAAACATTGAGGTCACCGATAACTCAAAAGGAACAGCGGTTGGTTAAACTTGATGCTATACTGCTTCCAGAAATGTGTTGAAGCGCGTTGCTGTAAAACTATTAACATTTTACTCCGTTAAAAAAGCAGTTTATGCAAACAAACGCACGTTAATTCACTCGAACCCACGTGTTCGAGCAGAGGCGTCTGATAATCAATCAACTAGTTAGTGTGAAATTGAGACCTGGTAAGCTATAGGTGGATGGGCGGGAAAAAATCTTGACAATAATGAAACAGAGTACCATAATAACACAGGTTTTGTCGATTTCTTCAGGTTCATAAAACGCTCAGTCGAACTTTGCAAGGTTTATTCAACTTTGGACAAACCTTACATTGGGGGTACTCCTACAAAAAACAGCAGTAACGTTACAAAGAAGCGGACATGAGTGGATTTTGTAAACCACACCGATTCGATTTGACTGGCGATCATCGGATGGTCCTTCATTTGATGCTCAGACCAAAATTTGTCGATAGTTAATCGGAAGTTGAAAAGGTCTTAGTAAATGCTGATTATGCGCAGTTCGTGTACATTCTGTATGAACGGAAAATCTGGCGGTTGCTTTTCGTTTAGATTCGTATGCCAGGATTCAACTACCAATTGGAGTCTTCTAATGCTTCGTCAAAAACCGAATAAGATAGTTGATTCAATGATGGCTTATGATATGAGTCGACTCGGGTTGGCAAACCTAAATTCATTATTATTGTCCGATAGGCGCAACACACCACTCATAAGGTTTCCGAAAACAACTCTGGCAGCCAACAACCGGTTTCGCGCTTCTTGGGTCTCATCAGATTAAAGCAGTCTCGAATATCATACCAACTTAAACATGGTACAGCACATTCAGCTGATTGGAAAATCATAAACCAGAGTTTCAGTTGGGTCTCCCGTGAACACCAAATAGTATTGTTCGGCAAATTTAGGCATAGATACCCTCCCTAAATAGTACATTCAATTTTAAGGAAAACACTGCATTGTCTTCAGTGGTGTAGTGTGCTCAGAAAGGGAAACCTCCCAAGCGTAGTCCATAGATGCGTTCTTCGGTATCAAGACTACAAAAGACCTTTCATGGGAACCGACTGCACTTTTCAGGTTAAAATAGGCTTCGGTACCTTATGTTACATATACAGCCCATTTAAAGCCTAATTTATAGTAGGCGGAATGGTATATAGACTGATTTGTCGTAATATTTGGACTGGTTATCTTGACATCGACGAAGAAGTTTCGTTTCGTTGGGCTTGGCGAACTAGTGTGCTGCCTACACGATGCACAAAACGGAGAGCGAAAATTCAGCGATCAACATTATGGTAGTGGTTACGTGATGGTTTTCCAATTCTCACAAGGAATAGACCAAGATCCGGTGATTTCCTGTTTTCTCCGGTTTCTGGAAACAGGCCTGGATCCACGGCAATTTGGCATGATAATGCACTCGTATAGCCTACCTACTTCACAGCTATTTGTTTATAACATTAAGCCTCTGCGTGAACTATCTCACAGTCCAGAGTTTAGTCTGACTGAAAACGTCTGCGCGCTACTAAACGGGGTTTTAGTAAGCATGCAGCCAGGTACTCATACCCTGAATAAATTGAGATATACTTTCTGGCAGAAATGGGAAAAATTAAAAGTCGAGTTTGTGTAAGACGTATTCCAACGCAGGAGAGAAGGACGCATTGGAGTCCAGACTAATGAAAATCACTACAGTTTTGACTGTGTGATTATTCTGATCGGTTGAACCGTATTTCCCCAGCAACATTCCCTGGCCGCCATAAATTGGCCGCATGTTCACATCACACGCCTTCTGTCCTTGTGCAATCATTTTGGCAAGTCCACACTAAGGAGGGGAATCAGTGAACTTCAGTTTCACATTTGTTCAAGTTCGTCAACAACTCATATGCTTGGCGTTGCAGGGGTTTGAAATCTGAACACCTGTACTGCGAGACAAGCGTGTTATCACTACTTCACCGGTTCGAGTTTCGAGCTCCTGTGGAATCACCAGACTATCGACACATGCAGGACAGTTACTTGATCGTCGTCTGAACGGTTAACATCTAGTCATATAGCTTGAGCTTGAATGGGTTCACCAGTTCAGGCGTAATAATTCAGCGCGTGCTGTTGATGTAGTGGTAACACACTAAACTCATATATCACATGTCAATAGTTCAGTCCCCAGCACGGGCAAAGATATGAATTAATGATGAGCTCTGAAAAGCCTGAAACTGGAATTAAGTGCTTCCGCTTCTTGATATGGACTTGCCAAAATGACCACGCTAGGAAAAGACTGTTCAAACTAGAATAGTGAGAACGAGAATTCCACGAATCCCGCATAGAACTAAGAACAAATAGACTCAGCAAACACCAATTTCGAATCTAAGCGCACTGCCGATAGAGAAACTAATCTCCCACCACAGTTTCCAAGTACTACATATAGTCCTTTCAAAAATACTATTCAATGACAGGCCACTTCTCCCAGTTTAACAATACAGGCAGCCACATCTGTAGTCTCTTTGAAGTGCGACCACTCTTTGAGAGGGGAGAAATAAAAATTAGTTTCAGATGTTGGTGTTGTGAAATTTTGTAAAATATGTACTCACATCACTAGAACAATTGTCATTCTGTCCAGACGCAATCATTCTGGTGAGTCCATATCTGTATCGCCCATTACTTTACCATTTGAAATTCTCCAAATTTCGTCTGTCTCTATCGGTAAGCCCCGCTCCACTTTTGTGTTTAGCGCATCTGTATGAACTGGCATTTATTTATTCCTACCACTTCACTTATTTGACCTTGAGGTCATCCAGCCATTTTGTGGTCGACCTTATGCACGTGTGACTGTCTCACGTAGGAGTGTTTACTCTTTTGGTTTGT